TTTCTCTACAACACCAATTTCTACAATAGTCTCCCCTTCCCTCTTTCCCCTCGAATTTCAAAATATTTCCCCCACTTCTCCTGCAACACTTTTGTTTACCCATTTTCTCCTCCTCTCTCATGTTTCCTTTACTCTTCGACTGTCTCTCTTTCGTTTTATATTTCTTTTATTTGCAAATTTCCTTATCATTCATTATATCATACATAGGCCTATTTTCAAACAAGAAACCGTATATAACTCCTTTTTCAGAAATTTTGACAAGAGAAACGTAAAGCATTTGCTCCCGTCTTGTTACATCATACGTCCTTACATATGTCAAAATGATTCTGTTCTCTTAGCTCTTGCAAACTCCTGAGAGGCTTGCAATCGGACCGGCACCTCTTGTCTCCACTGCTTCAAACACAAGCGCGCACATTTGAGTCTGTGTGCAAACCGAAGGGTATTAACTTCGATATATACATAGATATACCTATATACACAGTGGGAGTACTTATGATCATGCTCAAAGTTCATCACACATACATTACATACATACGTACACGCACACATGTATTAACACACACACACACACACACACACACACACACACACATATATATATATATATATATATATATATATATATATATATATATATATATATATATATATATATACATACATATATATCTACATCTCTCTCTCTCTCTCTCTCTCTCTCTCTCCCTCTCTCTCTCTCTCTCTCTCTCTCTCTCTCTCTCTCTCTCTATATATATATATATATATATATATATATATATATATATATATATATATATATATATATATATATTTATATATACATATATATGTATACACATCTATCTATCTATATATACATATACATACGTATATGTATATTTTTTGTTTGTCTCTGTGTGTTTATATATATATATATATATATATATATATATATATATATATATATATATATATATATATATATATATATATATACATATATATATATATATATATATATATATATATATATATATATATATATATATATATATATATATATGGTAGAAAAACCCACACTGTAAAAACTAGATTTATTGAAAATGAAAGTGAGACGATTCCATCCTCAGACCAGAGGATGGAATCCAGGTGGATTCCGAAACTGTCTCACTTTCATTTTCAATAAATCTAGTTTTTACAGTGTGGGTTTTTCTACCATAGTATCTACACGGTAGAGTGTTTTCCTCATTCATATATACATATATATATATATATATATATATATATATATATATATATATATATATATATATATATAAATAAATATATATATATGTATATATATGTATATATATATATATATATATATATATATATATATATATATATATATATATATATATATATATTAGCTTGTCCGTCTACGTCTGCGTGCTTTATCCGCCCGCACACCCGCAGATGTACGTGCCTCAAAGCGCGCGTGTGCATTGCCCATTCCACTCAAATTAACATGCACCTAAAAAAAAAAAATCCTCTCCTCCGTATTAGAAACGAAGGAAGTTAATCAAGTTATTCAGGAATAATGGCTTTGCTTGCTAACTCGAGTCCCCGGCGGCAGGTCCTTTGAACTCGGCCGCTTCTTAAGAAGGTCGAATTCCCTGGTTGTTCCTTCTGGGTAATTGGGTACTTGGCCTCTCATGCAGAAGGCTTTTCATTAGCGCTCGCTCTAGTCACTACATTTCGTCTCTGGATGTGGCTGTTGGTGTTGTTGTTGGTGATGGTGTGTATGTTGGTGTTGCTGTTGGTGATGTTGGTGTTGTTGTTGGTGATGGTGTGTATGTTGGTGTTGCTGTTGGTGATGTTGGTGTTGTTGTTGGTGATGGTGTGTATGTTGGTGTTGCTGTTGGTGATGTTGGTGTTGTTGTTGGTGATGGTGTGTATGTTGGTGTTGCTGTTGGTGTTGTTGGTTATGTTGGTGTGTATGTTGGTGCTGTTGGTATGTATGTTGGTGTTGTTGTTAGTGATGTTGGTGTGTATGTTGGTGTATATGTTGGTGCTGTTGGTGTGTATGTGTGTGTGTTTCTTAGGTGTGTGTGTTTCTTAAGTATGCCCATGTCTGTGTGTTTCTTAAGTGTGTGTGTGTGTGTGTTCGTTAAGTGTGTGTGTTTCTTAAGTGTGCCTATGTATGTGTGTTTCTTAAGTGTGAGTATGTGCGTATGTTTCTTAAGTGCGAGCATGTGCGTATGTTTCTTAAGTGTGAGTAAGTGTGTGTGTTTCTTAAGTGTGTCTATGTGTGTGGGTTTTTTAAGTGTGTCTATGTGTTCGTGTTACATAAGTGGGTGTGCGTGTATGTAGGTTTGTGTGTGGGTTTGTTTGCTTGGTTACAAATTTGTTCGTTCCTTTGCGTGTGTGTTTTGTGTCCTTTATCCATTTATTTTTATTTATCTATTTATCTATCTTATTTCTGGGTGAGTATTGCGTGTTTCGCCTACTGTCTGCCTTATTTTTTCGTGTGTGTTTATTTGTCATAGGACATTTTGTGTCAATTACGGTTTCAGATCTTATTTTTGTGTGTTATATGTGTGTGTGTGTGTGTGTGTGTATGTATATATATATATATATATATATATATATATATATATATATATATATATATATATATATATGCATATATATATATACATATATATATATATATATATATATATATATATATATATATATATATATATATATATATATATACACGTGTGTGTGTGTAATATACATATCCACACACACACACACACACACACACACACACACACACACACATATATATATATATATATATATATATATATATATATATATATATATATATATATATATACATATATACATATATTTATTTATTTATTTATTTATATGGATATCATAAACACACACACAGACACAAACACACACACACACACACGCACACAAATGTGTGGATACTAATAAGCTTTCACAGCAACAAGAAATGGTTTGTAATACAACTGTTATTAGCTTCCAACGGTAGCACCGTCCCACACACGCACGGTAGCTTGCATACTCCACGTGCTCCGAATAAAACACAAAAAACTCCCAATAAAACAGAGCGGAACGGCACAATGGACTAGGTGTAAACTCAGTTACTGCTCCCCTGCACAGGATGCACAGCAGAATTACAGATCACTTATTTTTCCTTTTTTCCCCTCTGTTAAGCAATAACTGCTGTGTACACGAGTCTGCGCGTGACGGTATGAACGTGTGTGTGTGGATGGTGAGAGGGAGGAATGCGTGTATTTTTGGGCGTGTATTGTGTGGTAGAAATAGTGATGAGTGGGATAATGATAGTGGCAGTAATGATGATGATGGTGATGGTGGTGGATGAGTTATGGAGGTGGTCATGGTGATGATGATGGTGATGATGGGGATGGTGATGATGAGGATGAGGATGATGGTGATGAGGATGAGGATGAGGATGATGATGTTGATGATGATGTTGATGAGAAGGAGGATCATGATGTTAATGAGGATGAGGATGATGAGGAGGAGGAAGAGGAGGATGTTGATGATGATGATGAGGAGGAGGATGTTGATGTTGATGATGATGAGGAGGAGGAGGATAAGGACGAGGATGAGGATGAGGATGATGACGATAACAAATTTGATACTAAAATAGTTATCGATAGAAGGAAAGAATCTTATTAGGGTTTCTGTCCTTCTTTCTCTTTTTTTCAATATACTAATAAAGAAATGAAACACGGACATAAGCATATCATCAACATCCATCACCACAGGAGTAATCTATGTGCTATTTCCATCAAGAGTGAAGAATACCTTTTGTCGAGCAAGAATTCGCTTGTTTGAGGTAATTTCCGTCATCACAGGCGACTGATGGTGCCTAAATCGAGCTCAGCTGTGATGGATGGAGCACCTTGTCATGTGAGTCATTAGTCTTTCTGTTCAAAAAAGAAAAAAAAAAAAAAAAACTTTTTTCATAACTGCAGCCCGTGGAAATTTTTGGGTTCCATTTTGTCGTCGTGTGCTCGATTGCGTCGGGTTTTGTGTGTATTTTGTGAATGGAAGTGTATATGTGTGTTTGTGGAAATGTGTATTTGTTGTATGTGTGGAGTAAGGGGGGTATGGGTGTGTATGTGTGTGTGTGTTTGTATTGTGTGTGTGTTGTGTGTGTGTCTACAGTAAAGCCCCCACGGCAAACAGACACACACAAAACAGACACACAAACAACACACACACAAAACAGACACACAAATAACACACACAAACAACACACACAAAACAGACACAAACAACACACACACAAAACAGACACACAAACAACACACACACAAAACAGACACAAACAAAACATACAAAACAGACACACAAACCACACACACAAAACAGACACACAAACAATACACACACAAAACAGACACACAAACAACACACACACAAAACAGACACAAACAACACACACACAAAACAGACACACAAACAATACACACACAAAACAAACACACTTACAAAACAGACACACAAACAACACACATACATCCCCCTCCTCCCCCTTGCTCGCATCCAGACAACCAGAGACCATCATACTTACCATCCAATATACCATGGTTCCCCGCGCATGTTCACTCTATCCGCTGTCATGTTGAACACGTGACGGAGGTTCCTGAACTCGGTCTGGTACGGGAAGAACTGGCAGTCGCGTTCAAAGTTCTCGAGAACAGGGGAGTCGTCGGCGTAGATCGACTTGAAGAACTCGAAGGAGAACACGTGCGGCGCCGACCAGTTCCTCTGCCCGTCTGTTATGACCACAGGGCGGCCGGTGTAAGCGTACCTGTGAAGAGGTTTTATCACTATCATTCGAATTGGGTGTCTGTTCATCAAGCTTTCATTTATCGTTATTTGTTTTCAATCATCTTTTTTTTTTTCTTTTCTTTTTTTTACTCCATTTATGCATTATTATCATTGGGTGTCTGTTCATCCTGCTTTCATGTTATCATTATTTGTTTTAAATCATCGTTTTGCTTCCTTTATGCATACGTAGACTGTTTTATGAGTTTCTACTTATTTCATGTTTACTAATATTATTGTTCTTGCTACTGCTACTGCAGCATTACTGCTAGTTATTGCTATCATCATTATTATTATTATCGCTATTATTATCATACAAATAGAAGATATTATCATAATCATTATCATTATTAATTACTGCTGCTACAAATGATACAAATAATACTAATATCAATACTCATAATGTTAGTGGTAGTAGTAGTATTGTGACTATCAGTATTATTATGATTATTATCATTATTATTATTATTATTATTATTATTATTATTATTATTATTATTATTATTATTATTATTGTTATTATTATTATCATTAGGATTATCATTATTGATTTCATTATTGTTATTATCGTCATTATCATCAATAGAGTTGCTGGTGTTAGTAATAATAATGATGATAATATATATAATAATGATCATATTTATGATAATAGTTATAATAATAGTAATTATTACTATTATGATAATTATCATAATGCTAATAATAAGATAATGAAATAAACGTAATAATAATAGAATAATAAAATAGAAAAATATTAGAAATAATAATGATAATAATAACAACAATAATAATGATAATAAAAATAGCAATAACAATAATAATAACAATAATAACAATAATACTAATGATAAAAGTGATGATGATGATAATATCAATATCAATAACAATATTAAAGATATTATTAATGGTAATAACAATGAAATGCCACTACTACTACGAATAATAATGATAGTAGTAATAATAACAGTGGTAATAATAATAATAGTAATTATAATAATAATAATGATAATAATAACAATAATAATAATAATAACAATAATAATAATAATAATGATACAAATGACAGGAATGATAATGAAGATAATTATATCGATAGCAATTAATAATGATATCGATAATTCCAGTAAGGATATCAATAAAAGCAATATCATTCAGTTTCAGTCTTAGATACATTACAGAAGAACAGATCTCAGCATGGCATCTGGTTGCGGTAGATACACGGTATGATAGAACGGGTAAAAGAGCTTAACGTGACTATGACAGGAAATCAATATAACATTGTTCACAGTAGCTGCACAGGCATGTGTGTGTGTGTGTGTGTGCGTGAGGGGGCGCGGGAAAGGGAAGGGTGCAGCGAGTGTGTGTAGGCGTTTGGGTGGGTGTAGGTGTACATATGCATGTATTTATAATGCGTGTGCGTGGAGTATATGTGTGTATTTGCGTGTGTGTTTGCGCGCGCGCGTGTGTGTGTCTGTGTGTGTGTGTGTGTGTGTTAATACTCTCTAACGATTATCATTATCATTGTAAAAGTCATTACCAATAACAAATTTGCTATCATGGCAATATCATTATAGTTGTTACAATTATTATTATCATTAACTTTATTATTATCATCATTAATATCATCACTGCTATTATTTTCATTATTGTTATAAATTTTTATTTTATCAATATCATAAATCGTGTTATTCTTGTTATTGCGAAGCTTCTTACTACTATAATTATTATTATTATCATTATTATTATTATTATTATTATTATTATTATTATTATTATTATCATTATCATTATCATTATCATTATCATTATCATTATCATCATCATCATCATCATCATCATCATCATCATTGTGATGATGATATTGTTGTTGCTGTTGTTGTTATTATTCTTATTATTGTTATTATTATTATCGTTATTAACCCATTGCCGCCGGGGATGTCATGTACGTACATGCCATGCCCACTTTGAGTCGACTTGTTCGATTGTTTTTACACATAGATGGCTGCACTTGTACTAAGTATCCAATGAGCCAATTACAGTACTGCCTGTCTCGCCCGTTCACCCTTTTCATCGATTTACGAAAATATTTAACGTTATCCTAGTTTGCTGTTGAAAATAACACCATTTATATTTATAGCACTAGTAAAAATACGTTTTTTCCCGCCAATTCAAGGAAAGGTGAAATCAGGACTAACAGAGCCATCTATGTACAGAGATATTTCACAAAAAAAAAAAAAAAATGAGTACTGCATTTCCCCCATTTTTTGTTAATTTTCCCCGGCGGCAATGGGTTAATACTTGTAGTAGTAGTATCATTATTATTATTATTATCAATATCACCATTATCACAATCATTATTATTAATATTATCTTCATTATAATTATCATCATAATCATTATCATTATTATTATTATTGTTGTTGTAGTTGTTGTTGTTGTTATTGTTGTTGTTATTAACATTATTATTAGTAGTAGCACTAGTCGTATCATTGTCATTATTGCTATTATCATTATTATTATTATTATCATTATTATTATTATTATTATCATTATTATTATTGTTATTATTATTATTATTATTATTATTATTATTATTTTCATTATCATTTTTATTATTATTACCACTACTACTACTACTTCCACTACTGC